GAGTGTAGCTTGTAGCTCAGTTCAGTTTATTTACCTTGAAGGCCCCGTTTACAGTGATGTTACATAAGGAATGGGGTTATAATACAATGAATACAATACTAGAAAAATAATCATACTAGAAACAAAAACACGCGGTGAGTGATCTGGTCTTACAAACAACAATAACAAGTTTGGCAAAATAGAGAACACAACGGCATTGAACATATGGTGTTTATTTGTAGATACAATATGGTGGAGAAGGGCATTTTAATCTGACGCTTTTCGACAGAAAATTGAGGTGGACAACGTAGTTGTGTGTGAACGTGGTTTTAAGACCTGTATCGGATGACCAGTGCGTTGTGATTTCCTCGCAGGCGGGGCGATGTACGTTATGCTATTTAGCGAACTGTAAAAAAAATTAATGGAAAAGACCAAGGCTGGCTAACGTACAATGTTGCATGAGTGATTGTAATTTACATTTTGTTACAGGGCGGACATGCTTACGTCATATAAGTACAATGAATAAACGTATCTTGCTGCATGATTTTGAAAAGACTCAAGTTTGTTGACGAGGTGTGTTTGATGTGGGTCCCAGATTGGCGAAGCATATTCAGCTTTTGGTCTAAGTAGTGATCTGCACGCTAGCAAAATCCAAGTGAACGATTAGCAGATGATAATATGTGGTTGATGTGTGTGCCCCAGTAAATATCAAAAGAAATTAAGACACCTAAGTACTTGAATGATGCAACTGCATCAATAGGGCTGTTGGCTATTGCGTACGAGGAAGGTATGGGATTATGACTACGGGTCAATGACATATGTTTACATTTCTTCGAATTGAGAGTCATTAGCCCCCAGGAACACCAAGACTGCACATGGTTAAGATTCTGTTGCAAGGTACCTGCATCGGTAATATTGCTGATGGTATGATAAATGATGCAGTCATCTGCGAACATTCCAATTTTACAAGTTACATGAGAGGGTAAGTCGTTGATATAAATTTAAAAAAGAAACGGGCCTTGAACAGACCCTTGGGGAACACCTAAAAAGACTGAAAGGACGACGGAGGATTGATCGTTGACACCTAAAAACTGCTAGCGGTTGATGACGAATGCTTTCAGTCATTTAGGTACGACAGAATTTATGTTTAGGAACGAAAGTTTATTTATTTATTCATTTACAGAGTACCTACATCGCCATATAGGCATTACGTAGGGGGGAACAAAAAAACAGTCAGTACAAAAAATTCGTAGCAAAATACATAAGATAAAAATAAAAAAGAACCGCCGCCACATTTATCAGAACATAATAATGCATCACAAAATACATTTTCATACACACAGACCATACATAATGCAAGAAGAATTTCACAGCATAGAAAAAAATAAATCATTATTTGTTATATTAACCAAGTCGTCACTTAAGCTGTTCCACTCTCTTATTGTTTTTGAAAAGAATGAGTGGAAAAAAGTATTGGATCTGCATTTGAAGGTAGATATCTTTTTGCTATTGTCACAGCGAGTGGATGTGTAGGAAGGTTGAACAAGGTAGCTTTGGTGATTGATTCCTGTGTTAGAGTAATATATCTGGTGCAACAGTTTAAGCCGTAGTTTCTGTCTACGTACACGTAGCAGATCCCATCCCAAAGTGGCCTTCATTTGTGAAACGCTGGCGTAGGGGCTATAATTATTTAAAACAAACCTTGCCGCTTGGTTCTGAAGTTTTTCTATTTTATTTATAAGATAGTCTTGGTGGGGGTCCCATACTACGCATGCATAATGAAGTATAGACCTGACCTGCAAAAAATATAAAGTTTCCTTGATTTCACTTTGTCACCTGTTGGAAATTCCTTCGAATAAAGTATAACATCCTACTTGCTTTTGCAATGGCCGTGTCAATGTGTTTGTTCCATGTAAACGATTCAGTAAAATGAACACCGAGATACTTATAATCGCAGTGTGTGTTAATAAGTACGCCATAGATGTTATATTGATGAAATGATTTGGATATTTTCCTTGAGAAGCTTACACTGCAACACTTTTTAATGTTTAAATTCATTTTTCATTCTTTACACCAGTCTGCTATGTGATCTAGGTCGGTTTGCAAAACCCAAGTATCAGATTCAGTCGTGATTTCTCTGTATATGACGCAGTCGTCAGCAAATAATTTTATGGGTGATGTAATGTTTTCAACAATATTGTTTATGTAGATTAGGAACAGTAAGGGTCCTAAAACGCTCCCTTGGGGAACGCCCGAAGTTATTGCTATGGACGAATATTTGACATTATTTAAGACAACGGACTGGGTTCTATTATTCAAATATTTACGTATCCACTTTTGAACCTTTTTATTTATGCCCAATGCAGCAAGTCTTACATCCAAGAGCTTATGGGGCGCAGTGTCAAATGCTTTTTGGAAATCTATAAAAACCGCGCCTACACTACTATTGTTATCAATAGCTTTGGATACGAAATGCTGAAAATCTATTAGTTGTGTGTTACAGGAATAACCTTTTCGAAAAACGTGCTGGGAGGGAGTAAAGAAGGCGTCGGAATCAAGGAATTTAAATATATTGGTATGTAAAATGTGTTCAAATATTTTGCAACATACCGATGTTAATGAGATCGGTCTGTAATTTTCTCTGAGTTTTTTATCTCCAGATTTGAAAGCGGGTGTAACATTTGCTGTCTTCCAATCTTGGGGAATAAGACCAGTTTTGAGGGAGAGTTCATAGATGATACCTAAATATGGAGCAATAACGTCATGACACTCTTTGAGAACTACTAAGGACAGTCCATCAGGTCCAATGGCTTTTGTTGCATCTAAGCGGCGTAATAATGAATCGACGCCACTAACATCAATTTGAATGTCTGGCATAATATTGCTCTGGGTGGCACTGTTTAGAAGCAATGCCTGCTCGTCAGTTTCATGCGAAAAAACTGATTGAAAATATTGATTAAAACATTCTGCCCTCTGGTAGTCTGACCTCACCGCTTTGCCGTCGACAGTTAAGGCTGGTATAGATATATCTTCTTTTTGGGTCCGTTTTACGTACTTCCAGAATGCCTTTGGGTTTTCTTTTAAGTCTTTACCTAATTTTACAAAATAAGAATCTTTTGCAGATTTAATTGTTACTTTTAATAAATTGTTTATTTCATCCAAGTGATTGTGGTTTACCAAACTAGGACTAGCAGAAAATATTTTATAAGCGCGTCTAGCTTTCCTGACAAGTTTGCGTATTTCTGCATTGAACCAAGGTTTATGCGTTTTCTTTTTACGCAAGTACCTACATGGAACATGACTTTCAACCAATCCAAGCATTTTGTCCCGAAATGTAGGAAAAAAATTTTCTAGTTCAGTTCTAATAGCAACATTATCTCCTCTGTCATAGCTGAACACTTTTCTTCGTGGAGCCTGAGATGCTCGTACACGCTGTACGCTAAGCTCCACGACAACAGCCCTGTGGTCGCTAATACCTGGGCACACGGTAATCCCTGATACTAAGTTTTGTTCATTGCAAAGCACCAAGTCTAAGATTGAGTCTTCCCGTGTAGGTTCCAGCCCGTACTGTTGTAAGTCATACAATCCAAGCAATTCTTCAAACTCTAAGTAGATACAGGAACCGTCACCAATACCACATCCAGCACTCCATCTAAAATTCGGCAAGTTAAAATCTGCCCCAAGAAATACGCTGTTAGGCATAACAGATAGCACATCAGACAATAAACTGAACGACTCGCTTCTGCCCTATGGGTGATAGAATGTCCCGAACGCGACATTGTTTCCCTTGGGTAAATTCACGAGGCACCAAACAGATTCCGAGTCATTTTCAAAAAAAAGTTCAGTGCTTGGCAATGTATTTGATATTAAAAGAAACACTCCCCCCCCCCCCCCATGCCCATGTTTATCTTTCCGATAGACAGTAAAACCTGGTCGAAAGATTTTCACATTACACACAGAGTCATCCAACCATCATTCAGTGCCCATTACAATTTGGGGCTTAATGATAGCTATCAAGGACATGAAGCTATCGACTATTTTTTATGCTGCGACAATTTACTAGCAGAACAGAAAGTCGTTCAGGCAGTGAGCAACCCTCTGTATTTTCGTTGAGGGAAACAGAATTTAGTGTAGGTCATTTGCCTCTATCCATTTGCGCATGCGCCCTCACTGGAATCGCCATCTGAGTGTCGCTATCCCAGACAAAAGCTTGCCCATTGATAATCAGTTTATCATAACTCAGACGTACACGGTTTTCTTTGCATCCTCTTTTATCTTTCGCACAGTTCCACAGCTGTCGCCTTCTTTCCTGCACGGCCTGGCTGAAATCCTCGGAAATACTGTACGAAGTAACCTTTAGCTTGAAAGCATTTTTAAAGACAGTTTCTCTAGCCTTCCACTGCAAAAAGTACGCTACAATGGGCCGGTTCTTGGTTTCCTTAAAAGCCCCTATGTGGTGAGCCCGCTCAATTGATATGTCGTCGAGTTTCATCGCATCCTTGCATATTCCTTTAATTAAGTTTTCTGACGTTTCGCAAGTCTCATTTCTTTCAGTATCAGGCACACCAAAAAAAACCAAGTTCTGTCTACGGGTTCTATTCTCTAACTAGTCCACTTTTGCCAATTCAATTGCCTTCAATTTTTGCCTTCAATTTTTTCCACACGAGTGATGTGACTTTCCACAATGTTTGTTTTCTGTACTAAATTCATTATTTTAGATTCCAGTTCACTTTGTTTAGTTGTAGTTTCTGTTAACTTCACAAGCACACTTTCCTGGCCCATTTGCATTTCCAGAAGGATCCTCTAGATGTTCGTTATTTCCTCACGCTCTGCCGCACTCATGCGTCCTGGATTTAACTCTACGTCTCCAGATAAAAGTATTGAAAATTGAGAAAGCATCCAGCATCCATCGCAAAGAAAAAAGAGCACAGCATCAATAAAACACACGCTCACATGATTAAGACAACATAAAAGTTCTCGCTTGTTAATGGGGCACGACACTTTTCTCGGCCCATGCTCACCCTTATCCATGTACCAGGTGCTGCTCGGATTTCTCGCTGTCGTGGCAAATATCGCCGGGGTGGTGGAACACGGCGTCACCGAATCTTGGCCAGGACCTATCGCAACTGATCTGAAGTCCTCAGATCGTGCTTTCCATGGATCACGGGATGATTTGCTGCGGTAAGTGTCAGTGGGAAACCTTGTCAAAAGCTTTTTCATAGTCGAGAAAGATAGCATCTGTTTGTTGCAGTGAGATTCGTATGTAGGTCATGAATGAAGAGAGTCAGTTGTGTTTCGCAAGAAAGGTCCTTACAGAATCAGTGCTGTGCAGGATGGAAAAACTGATTAGCATCTAAATGGTCCATAATGAGAGAGGAAAAGACATGTTCTATTATTATGCTTGGAAGACTCGGAAGAGAGATGGGGAGATAATTTAAAGGGTGAAGCCTGTCACCTGCTTTGTAGAATGGATTGACCATCTCCACTTTCCAGTCATGAAGTATGCAGCCTTCAGAAAGTGACTGAGTAAACAAAAGACACAAAATTGCAGCAGATACATCTTTAGTATTTTTAACAGCTTTGAGATAATATCATCGATGCCGGCACAGGACGAAAGCTTTAAGTTATCAGTCACATGTGAAATACCGTCTTCACTGAACGTGATTGCCGGCATGCCAGATGATATGTCGCCAGACAGTATTGGCAGAGGAGCAAAAGTATCTTTAGTAAAAACTGAAACGAACACGTTGTTCAAGGTTTCGGCACAGACAACATCAGACATAATGTCACTCGAATCGTCAGCAAGAGTTGCGGCGCGAACATGACCTGGGTTTATTACTTACCAAAATTTCTTCGGGCTTTCTCAAGTATCTTAAGTAAGCCATTGTTAAAGAAATCATGCTTGGCTCTTTGAAAAGTATATTTTTTGGCAGAATAATACTTTTCTAGGGCATTAGCATTGGTACTCTCTTTAACAGCTCAAAAAAGTATTTTATTTATTTTCTAGCGTTTTAAATGGTTAGTGAACTACGGATTCTGAGGATTTTCATAGATTGAAGTGTTTGGTATATGTTTAACCGCCAAATAATTTATGTTACATTTAAAGAGCTCCCTACCACCTTTAATGAATTTTTCCTGAAGTCGAGACTCAAAGTAAAGTAGAAAAGCAGTTATTTCGTCGTTATTGGCTTGGAAGTTTTCTCTGCCGTATATTGATTGATTTGTGGGGTTTAACGTCCCAAAACCATTATTTGATTATGAGAGACGCCGTAGTGGAGGGCTCCAGAAATTTTGACCACCTGGGGTTCTTTAACTTCTCTGCCGTATAGACGGATTGTTTTGGTACAAGATGCACGTGAAGGTGCAGAAAATAAAAACGTGGCGTGAAGAACTTTGTGATCATTGACAGGTGGAAGAAAGGTTAACAATGATAAGCTTTCTGGATAATTAGTTAGTGTAAGGTCTAAGATGCTTGAACAACCACGCGAAACACGTGTTGGTTCAGAAACAAATTGTGAAAGATCAAACAGACATCGATGAAATCTCTATTTTCTGCATTAGTTGATTCTCCAGAAAATAGATCGCACCAGTTGATACCGGGGAGGTTAAAATCACCAAATAAAAGAATATGAGCATTAGGATGCGCAGCTGTCACCCGGCACAAAATGTTGTTAGACTTGCCAGGCAAATCGGACCTGTTAACAGGGGGTCGATAACAGACGCCCAGCAAGAATGCCTGTGGAAATGAGCAGAGAAATAACCAGGCGATTTCAAGGTCAGAAGGAGGCGTGATTGTTGTACAAGGTGATTGTTTGCTAAATGCTATAAAAACTTCTCCACCTCGTGTTTCTAGATGGTCACGACGATGAAATTCAGTTTGGCAAATCTGATAAGACTTCATGATTACTGTCACCGGAGAGCCATGTTTCTGTTAAAACGAGTGAATTTCTACTAGATGAAGAAACTAGGCTTGATATAACTAACGTTTTGGAAGAAAACTACGGGCATTAGTGAAAATAACAGACAAGGAATGGTTATTCTTAGAGGCAATAGGACAAAGTTTGGGTGGACCTCTGTGGTGCTTTGATCGCTAATGAATTTCTTTGATGCTGTTGGATGATGCATCATATCCATAACGTTTGGACGCTATGACGAGCATCTTGAAGCGTAGATTGAAAGACGTTCCTTTACTTTTGCCGAAAGCAGTAAAATGTTTCCGGGCATTTCGGACTGCTGGTGGAAAATTTACATCAAGTGCGCAGTTACTTCCCCTTAGCTTACGACCGTTAGACAGTATTGGCTCTTTAGTATTGTATACCGCTAATTTGACAATTATTGTTCGGTTACAGCCAGGAGAGTGCCGTCCCAGCCGGTGCGCACGCTCAATTTTACTAGAATGCAGGTTTAAGTTCATATGCTCACAGACACTAATAATGAACAGGTTTTCGGACAGCGTAAAAATTTCAGAAGGGATGGAATAGGGATTTTTGTACAGTATTAAGTTATTTCTACGAGACCGGCTGTCAGCATCATCTATGCGGCTCTCGAGACCAGTTTCGGTCGTAGCAGCATGCACCCCTTGTATTTCACTTTTTAAGAGTATAAGTGCCTGGTAGTGTTGCTCAATTTCCATCATTTGCTTATTTAGATTCGTTAAAGCTTTATCAGTACTTAAAATTTGATTCTTTAGGCCTTGCACCTCCAAGATTAGTTCGCTTTGCCCAGCTGTCGGCTTTTGTGACTCAGCGAGAACATCGTTCATATTACGCCATGGGTTGGTCATCTCCTGACAGAAATAGCAAAGACTGAATGTAATGCACACATTCATGAAATAGAGCAAGAAAGCACTAAGGGTGCGGGAGCTGCACTAAACAGTGATTGCTAGATTTCTCACTTAAAGATCGTATTTCGCACTAATCTGTACGGCGAAAACCAGCATGTTAGATGTCAGCGTTGTGGCGCAGCCACCGAGACCGCAAAGCGGCCGCAGCGGTCTCTGCTCTTTTATAGATGACGTGTTTGATAATGTCCTTTTCGATGTGGTATTCCACGATGGCTGGAGTATCCAGTGGTTGGGTGTCGATCTATATTCCTCCGGCGTTGCCAAGACGAGCGGAGCGGCAATTTGATTTGGACAGTGGTAGAACGACGGCGCACGCTCCATCGGTGCCACAGTGCATGCAGTATGCACTGGAGGCAGTGACGATCATCATCTGTACGGCGAAAACTAGCATGTTAGATGTCAGTGTTGTGGTGCAGCCACCGACCCCACAGAGCGGCCGCAGCGGTCTCTACTATTTTAAATGTGACGCGTTTATAGTTGATGGGACTTTTATAGTTGACGAGTTGATATGTAGGTCATGTTTTACATGACACGCATATCAAGATTATCATGTTTGGGCATGTCATTTACCTTCACCATCCATTTGCATCACGTAATACCAAACTCGGTACAAGCGAAACTAGCGGAACAGCTGTGAGCACTTCATCAGCGTGGTTGTCATCATCTTACATAACACGCATGTCTTGATTATCATGTTTTCCTCTCTCTTATACTTTCGTCATTCATTCACGTCACGTAATACCACATTTTCTATATGTGGAACTAGTGAAACAGCCTCCTGAGCGCTATGAGCGTAGTTTGTAGTCATGCTTCACGTGACCCACATTTTATGGTTATCATGTTTGCACGTGTCATTTACCTTCATCGTCCATTCTCATCAAGGAATACTGATATATGCGAACCTAGCAAAACAGCCGTGAGCGCTACATGAACGTGGTTTGCTATCATCTTACATGACACGCATGTCTTGATTGAGGAGCACAGACTGCTGGGCGAGTTCGGAATTCCTTTTGTACTTATTTTTTTTTCGCGCAACTCAGTTAAGGTATTTTGATTATGTTTGCATCAGTCATATACCTTTGTCATTCATTCACGCCATGTAATACCAAATTTGCTATATTTCGAGCTACAGAAACGGTCGCAGGGGCACTATAGGCGTAGCAAGTAGTAATGCTTTACGTGACCCACATATTATGATTATCATGTTTGGACGTGTCATTTACCTTCATCATCCATTCCCGTCAAAGAATACCGATATATGCGAATCTAGCAAAACGGCCACATGCGTTACATGAGCGTGGTATGCTGTCATCTTCTTACATGACACGCAGGTCTTGATTGAGAAGCACAGACTGCTGGGCGAGTTCGTAATTCCTTTTGTACTTATTTTTTTTGCACAACTCAGTTAAGATATTTTGATTATTATGTTTGCATCGATCATATACCTTTGTCATTCATTAATGTCACGTAATGCCAAACTTGCTATATATTGAGCTACAGAAACGGCCGCAGGCACGCTATAGGCGTAGCTTGTAGTCATGTTTTACATGACCCGCACATCACGATTACCGTATCATGTTTGGACATGTCATTTATCTTCTTCGTCCATTCAAGTCACGTAATACCGAATATGGTATATGTGAGGCTAGCAAAACGGCCGCGAGTGCTTCGTGAGCATGATGTGTTGTCATCTTCTTATATGACACGCATGTTTGGTTATGAGGTTTGCATCAGTCGTATACCTTAGTCATACATTCACGTCACGTACTACTGCACTTGCTACATGTGGAGCTAGCAAAACGGCCCCGAGTGCGCTATGAGCACAGCTGGTAGTCATGTTTTACATGACCCCCATGTCATGATTATCATGCTTGGATGTGTCATTCACATTCGATGTCGACGAACGTCACGTAATACGAAATTTGGTGTGTGAAGCTAGCGAAATGGCCATGAGCACTTCTTGAGCGTAGTATGTTGTCATCTTCTTACACGACGTGCGTTCTTGATTATCATGTTTGCATCAGTCATATACCTTAATCATTCATTCACGTCATGCAATACGAAATTCGCTCCATGCATAGCAAAACGTCCACGGGCACGTTATGAGTGACGCTTGTAGTCATGTTTCACATGATCCGCATGGCGTGATTATCATGCCTGGCCGTGTCATTCACATTAGACGTCCATACGCGTCACGTAATACGAAATTTTGTATATGTGAAGCTAGTTAAACAGCCGCGAGCACTTTATGTCCGTCGTATATTGTCATCCTTTTACATGACACGCATGTTTTCATTGTCATGTTTGCATGACCTTCGTCATCCATT